AATTTCATGGCACTGATTCATATAAGGTGTTCTTCTTTAAGATGGACTGTAGTTTTTATTAGAAAGGGTCCTTAAGTGAACTTTCATCATAGCAGTATCAATTTCTCGACAGCTCATCAACTCTGCGTGAGCCCCGTAAACAACCGAATAACCCACATAGCATTAGACAAATACATCTGCGCCGAACCGACATCAGTGCATCTTTCTTTATAGTTACTTGATGCATGGAACACATTTGTCAAGAAGTTACATGCTATAATCGAATACTTAGTCAACCGTGGCACAATAAAAATACAGTGGCACATTATATTCAAACAATTGGTCATCCAATATTTCAAAGGCTTCAACAAATTCCGCCTGACAAACTCAAAACAACAAAGATTGTTTTTAAGATGTTGGAGTACCCTTCATTTCGTTGAGCCAGTTTTTCTAAATACTGTTTTTAAGACTTTAATGGACTCCTGTATCATCCGCTCTTCAGAGGATCCATGGGCGTCTCCATTTCACATGATCTCGAAGAAAGGAGAGGATTGATGGAGACCTTGTTGGTATTGTCGAAAACCCAACTTGGTTGCGGCACCTGACCTGTATACCCTCACGCAAGTCATATTTTGACAAAGAAAAGAGGGTAAGGATCGAACGCTAGGTGGAAAATGAAAATTTTTAACTTATCTTATCCTTGACACAGGAGCATTGCGTTGTGAGCAATGTTGTGACTGAATAAATTTAATAAGGCATTTTCTCTGGAGCAATCGCCAGACTATGGTATGTTGGTTTTTTTAGCAGAGCCGTCAAAGTGCTTTTGATGGTAGTATTGTCACTGCTGGCGATGATGGAGTCCATATAAACTATTACGCCATCCTAAGCTTAGATGGCCTTATATGTCAAACGTTGGAACGTTTATGCCGCTCTATTGAGACCAAACGGCACCCCAGCAAACTCAAACAGACTGGAAGTAGTCATATTTGCAGCTTTCCACAAGTATTGATAACTGGTTCTAAGCAGATTAGTGATTTTAAAAAATGGTTTTGGATTTTAAAATTAGAGCGAAATCTGTGACTTACGGAGGAGAATATTGGTCTGGTGTCGTAACCAAATTGATTTTTCAAAAATGTCAACTAAGTTTCTATATATAAATTTTTCCTTTTTTGGGCTATAATTTATTTGGGTAAATAAAAAGGGCAAAGTGCAATCAGGAACGCAAGTTCTACCGAGAAAACACAAAATCCAGATCACTTGCTGCCTCAAATAAACTCGTGCTTTGAATGTCGCCCTTGGTTGTTTGAGAGGTAGGCTCGGCGTAGAGGCTACACGAAATAGAATGCGGATGCTTCATATTCACATGTGGAGCTAAATTAGTGCTGGAAGATCGCTTATTTGAAATGTAGGTATCGCGCATATTCATAAAAAATCACACCTTAGCCACTATATATGCGACTGATCATTTATAGCATCAAATAAGTCCATTTTATTCTCTGGACAATAGGCGAGGATTGCTTTGTAAGCTGCGTTAGGGCTGGTTATCTTGTGTAAGTGATCTTTATACTTGGTAAATCACGTTCTTGCCAATTTTTTTTTAGTGATCAGCCAATTCTTGCTGCGTTATTTGCATTTTCATATTTTTTTAAACATTTCTAGGTTATACTTTACTTGGCTATGCTGTGTGACCGATATCACGCACGCCGCACCTCACCAACAATATCAAAAAAAGAAAGTCAGGATTATAATGGATCAGAAGCACTCGATTTTCCAGCTCTTCATCGTTGTTCGTCTCCCAAAATGTCTTCCTTTGGTAAAGAAAATGTCTCTGAGTCCAAGTGCGTTCATCCTTCAGCCTCTTCTAGAATTCTTGATCCTCCACCACCGGCTCCTTATGTTAGCTTGGGCTGGCTAGTATATCTGAAGGATGATAAGTATGCTGACGGCCATTCGCAAGCCAATGTTCGTCGCCCAATGAAAGATATGGTCGAAAAGCTTCAGGGTAAACGACCCCATCTTATTTTGACTGATGAAGCCAGTCTAAAGGGTCTCATCCAGGTCAGTCGTGTTGCATATTTTTACTTATGAACATCTTATTTCTCTTTCTTAAACTTTAAGTTTCACTTGAAAAATATTCGCCAAAAAAGACTTGAAAAATTACAAGTTTTATATTGATTAATAAGAAACTTTTTCATTAGTCATCTAATAGTCTATACAGCCGTTAAATGGCTTTGCTAAACTTTTATATTCCTGCTAGATCTTAACTTTTGCTAGGCTCGTTGTGGACATGTTGAAGCTGCATATATTTTATTCAAATATCTTTATGCTATGAGAGCAATAATTATCTAACCCAATTATGTTCATGAAGGAATTAATGTATATCGTGTGGCTTAAATCTTTCATGTGCTCTATATTTAATCATCACTCGATTTTAATTTGGCTATTATAAAATGACATTATGATCGTCCTTAACAGTACACTTCGTAAGATATGCAGAATAAAGTTATTCAACTTAATCAGCTCTTGAGTGTACATTTTGAGTAGACCATATATGGATGTACTTTTAGATTCGTTGACTTCTCATTCGAAGATATTTCGCGGCCTCAATTCCTGCTTTTTAGTGTTTGTAGAAGAAACCATGTTTTATTTACCTTGATGACCTTTGACTTGGAAACTAAAAATATTCAAGGTCAGAATTGATGGTTGAATGCGGGATCTGATCTGATTTATATGTTAAATTCAAATGTTCGCTTCCAGAATCATCTTTAGTTTAATTTTTTCAGGTTGAGCTAACACCGTACCGACACACTTCATTAATAAGGTTTGTGGTAAAGTATTTTTCCAAACTTTTTCTGTTTTAAATGGTTGGCTTCAGCAGTACATTGGCAGTATATGCAATAATAATTTTAAGACAGACTTGTATTTGTAATTGGATTTCATTGGAATATGATAGGAAAGAGTGCGTTGTGCAGATAACCGGCTTTAAACCTACTTACTTCATATAGTCTAATCTGGTCCACATAATGAGGCATCTCATGGTTCGGTTAGATATCATATGCTTTTCTAAATGTTTGCTGAAAAGTTTGATTAAATGGCTGCATGTGAAGTGGCTGCGGATGAAGTGTGAAACGGATTCAATTGTGACTGAACAGCTGCATCCTCCCCTTAAACATTAATATCTTTGATCCTGCAATATTACTGCATGCAATTGCGTTCCATCGCGCGCTTGTTGTGTGAATACATTGCTATTGAAATGCGTGAGATGTGAAAGTCAAAACCAGATTCGAGTTTAATCAGTCCTGCTATTCTTGCTCTGAGGTAATTATCGTTCTCATAGACTCTTAAGCAATAACACAAAATCTTCTAATAGCCAGATCTGGAGACAGGATCAGAATATTTTCGAAAAGAAGGCATTACCGAGAATAATCTTATTATATAGTGTCCCTATGTCCAAACTCAGTAATTTGCCTTTTTTGGTAGATTATACGATAGCAGCATAAGGACTCTTGGTACAGTGGTCTAACCTTTCATCTGGCTTCAAATATGTATTTCCCTTCATCCAATCTGATAATATTTTAAAATTATTGTCATTCAATCCTCGTGGATAATTATTCTCCACCATGATTCTACATAGTCGTCGCAATTCCTGGTCCCTATGATTAACATCTGCCATACGCAGACTTCTTATTATCTTGACTTCACAACTTCTACTTAAGCCTCTATAAGTGTGACTGAAAAAGAAATTCAGTCCTATGCACTTATCTACATAATTTGGTTCCCTCAGTTAACTAGGATATCGAGAAAGGACAGGCCATCTTTCTTTTCGAACTCAATACATCTCATCTTCCCGTCTATTCTGTTTATCAATCCAAGGAAATTTTCCTGATTTTCTTTGCCATGCTGCCCAAGCGGCAAAGTAGTCATTCATCTAGCAAAACAATAATTAGTGACTAAAATTAACCCTTAAATTAGGCGTTTCTCAAGTCGAGCCATATAATTACTTGATAAGATTGGTGACAAATACGATCCCATAAGCCTCGTGTTTATTTATACAGTTTACAATTAAAGGTAGAATATGTGTAGTGCACCGGCAGATTTATGAATATTACTGTTGACTCTACTTAATTGTATATTTAAACTCTTCTGTTATTTTTCTAATGTTGATAGTAGAGATTTGTGGTATAGTTTACACCAGTGGTTCTCAAACTTTTCCTAGTCGCGGCGCCCTTTTTCAATTACAATTTTTCCATGGCGCCCTACCCTAAGTATGACTATTCCTAAGTAAGAGATAAAAAGAAAACTTTATCTTCATTATTTTTTTTACTTTATTAACATTAAATTAATATTTAATAATTAATGTGATGGATGAGCCTCCAAATCACTACACAATTTCTCAAATTAAAGCTTTTACAATATTTCGCGGCGCCTCTGTAAAGAGGGGCGCCGCGGCGCACAGTTCGAGAATCACTGGTTTACATAGCATATATAGATTAAATATCAAAACTTACAAACATGTTAGCGCATTCTATCTCTTGCTCGTCGACTACGTTAGCGTATTCATAAGAATTTACAACCGAAATCCACTACGATTCGGAGATTTGCTTTAACTGGTGATAAATAAATCGTGATGTCTTATACATCACACTACCCTTATTATTCACGAAAATTTCAAGTTGAACTTCTTCCTTATCTAGTTAAGACAGACCATACGCATTCTGAGGCATGGCATCTTGTTAATAAAGTGTTCATCATTTGTCACGCAATATTGGAAGCAAACCCTAAGTCTAGACTTAAGGGTTTCTTTAAGGTCCCTACTGATTGATGTTGGGGTACCTTTCATTTCGTTTGAAGAGATTAGTGGAAACGATTAGTAAATTGGTCTCACCGGGAGCTTTAGGGTGATTGGCTTGGAGACGTGACTGTAGATTTGGGTGAATAGGTCCTCGGCGCGACGCTCTGTGACCCAGAGTAATCCTTGCCAGGCTATTGTCCGTCATGTTACGGACATTATCAGATTACATCATACTTTACGATAATTCACCAAGCACAAAGACAAGCAAAGTAGCCGGCTTGGCATAAACTTACTTCTTATAGTACAACACACGCGGTAAAATTGCAGAATCAAAAATATAAGTGTTTAGTGGAGGATGCAGCTGTTGGCTCACGATCATTTCACATTTCATCTACGGCCACGTCATCGAGAGCCACTTGACTTTTCAGCAAACATTTAGGAAAATCATAGGAGATGCAGCACTATAAAATGCGACAGAAATAGGGGCAAGGAGCGATTCCAGAACGGTTGAACATAAAATTGATCATGGAAATTTCCTCCACTTCTCACTGATACGTTTTAACTCTGTCCTAACGATGGCGCCTCATTAACGATGCCGGCGAAATGTTTAGGAATGTAACAAGTTG